CAAGTAATTAGGAAAATTCTACCTACTCAAAAGTCTTTCATGTTCATTTCCTTTGACATTGTTATCTTACCATTGATTTGGTAAGTAACCCTATCTTTGGATGTAAACGGAACGGGCGTGGGTCATCGTATAATCATGATTAGCAATGTTGCAAGGTATCTTAGCATTTTTCTTTAGGGACTAAGATCATTTTGAAAGGCAACTTTTGATAGCGTCATCGATGGACTATGATCTTGTATTTTGCTTGTTTTTGCTAAGACACCTCACATGCGTAATATGGTCATTTTTGTAAGGCAACCAAGTGGATTTTACCCTAGGGGTGCTTGTGTGCAAGTGTATTGGTTTTCATGCTTGGTTTTTGTCTTGAATTAGAGTTTGCTACTTGTTGATTTTATCTTTTCATACAAACCCTAATTACTAGCATTTATATAAAGCGATAAATTGCGAAAAGTAAAATTACTACACTATTACATCATTAGGGGAGGGGGTGTACAAATTAATAAATTGGAATTGCAAGAAAATTAAACCTAATTATCTATTACAACCATATTGAATATTGTACAAATTGAAAATAAAATGTAAGAATATAAATGGAAAAAGAAATGATTTTTGTTGTTTTTATGAAAGGGGTTTTAACCGAATTAAGTGAGATGATTAATAAAAATAAACAAATTTTAAACCTAAATTAATTAAGAAGGAAATTAAGTTTAAAAATGTATTTTAGGGTTTTTTGTGAAAAGGTTTTAACTTAATAAAAATAATATGAAAATTAATTAATTAAAATAAACCTAAGTTCTAAATTAATTTTGAATAAAAAATAAAAAATAAAAATAATAATAAAGCCTAAGTCTAGATATTAATTATTTAAGAAAAAGAAATTAATTTGTTTAAGAAAAATGTTTTTTTTAGTCTTTTTGTTTTATAGAGAAAATAAAATATATAAGTGTAAATAATAAATAAAAATAAATTTGGATTTTTTATGATTTATGAAAATAATAAGAGTAATAATAATAATAATAATAATAATAATAATAATAATAATAATAATATTAATAATAATAATAAATAAAAGTAAAAAAAAAAAGTCAGAGAGGTGGATTAGTAATGCAGGGGGTGTTGTGAGAAAAAAAGATCAGGTCCACATGAAAGCCCAGGCGTTGCAAAAAAGCACAAAAAAGTATTAAAAAAATAACAAAAGGTCACGCTGGGGTTTGAACCCAGGACCTAAGGGTAACAAGCGCGTGCTTTAACCACTGGGTGGTGATACATCTGTTAACTTATGTGAAAGGATAAATACATAACACAAAACGCGCCCTGATTACACTTCATCTTCAACCTCTATCCAAAGGATCTGTAACTTGCTCATTTCTCAACCATTTGCAAAAATATAAACATGAAAATTGCTCCATTTTGTCACACGAATTCAACCATATAAATATCATAAGCTATAAATCAAAGATGAATGAGAATTTCTAAAAGTACCAAATTTTGACCTAACTATTTCAGAAAGTTCAAACTCAAAATTCTCCTAGCTCAATCAAAATAAATGAAATCTATGGACATGTATAGTTTCAGGGCAATGATGTCTACATTTTATGAGAATTCCTTACCCTTAGTTATGGTCACATATGTTAGTGAAAAATAAAACATGTATCTTACATACGGAGGTGTACTTTTAAACGCATCAAAAGTTTATCCATACCATTTATATGTAATTTTGTCACTGTTATTTTATCATAAATTAATATAAAGATGTGTCTTTGTAAAAAATACAGAAATATACTTTCGGACAAATTTTGAGTAATATTAACATGTCAAATCTTTTTCTTCCTTATTTCCATTAGAGTTTACTCTAAATTTAAAAAAAAAAACGCGTGCATGAAAAACCTCTTTCTCGAATTTTTTATCATACTATGCCTAATTCAAGAGCTTTCTCAATTATTACTCGATTGCATTTGTTATGAAGATCCTAAAGTCCTACATTGGTTGGAGATAGAGCATTAAAAGAGTTCATATAGAGTGACGCTCCTCACCTTTCTAATCGGTTTTATAAGGTGAAGCTAAGTCAAACTCTAAGATGGTATCAAAGGCTATCGATCGGACCATGGGCGTCCACCATTAATATCCACGCACCAAGCCCAAAAAAAAAAGAGTGTTAGGCGTGAGAGGGATGTTAGGAAGATCCTAAAGTCTCACATTGGTTGGAGATAGAGCATTGAAAGAGTTCCTATAGAGTGACGCTCCTCACCTTTCTAATCGATTTTGTAAGGTGAAGCTAAGTCAAACTCTAAGAGCATTCAATCCAACACCTCAACTTTCTCACATTTAATAAGTTTTTTCATTTTTTTTTGGATTTGTGATGCACACATTAGTAAATAGGTTGTTTAAAGTACAATATATTGTAATTACACTTGTTGGCAGCTCGTGAGAGTCAGAAGCATCAACGGGACCAATATTCTATGACAGAAGAGAGGAAAACGTCACATCTCAACCAAAAACCTTCACTATAAGAAAAAACTGAATTAGCTTGGGGTAAATGACTAGGGGTTAAACCTCTAGCTAAATTTACCTTTAGCTTGGGTAACCTCGCCCTACAAAATATTTGTTGACAATTTGCAAGGGGGTGATCACCTTGCTAGTTAAGTTGAATTTTTGCGAGGGACTACCTCAAGTCCACTGTCACGTCACATCTTCTGCGAGTTAGATTATAAAATGTTTATTTACCAAGTTATAGAATTTTTTAAAATAAAATGAATTAAATATGATTTTTTTTAATTTTAAAATATATTTATGAAAGTAATGAAAATCTCGACTTAGAAATTAAATTTTGAGTTCTTTTTTTTCAAGAAACTTTTTATAACGTTCTAAACATGTATGCAAAATAATCATTCAAAAATACACATCAATTTAACAGAAGAGTTAAAACTACGTACATTGTTGGAACTAAAATATGTCATATTTATTTATAGAAACTGAAAACAAATTTTGATAATTTATAGGATCAAAAACATATTTAACCCATGAATTTATTTGTATTAAGTGTGTCTATAGATGCATTTTTAAAAATTAAGGGGTTTTATAAGTAGGGTTGTTCATGGTAGTTTTGTCAAAAAAACTGAACCGAACTGAACTGAACCATTATATAAAGTCATTTGAATCGTACCGAACTGTTTCAATTTTTTAGAACCAAACTGAACTAAAACTTTTGGTTCGATATAACGGTTCGGAATTCCGAACCATACCAAATCATTAGAAGACAATTTTTCCAAACTGAACCATTTGTTAAGAAACCGAACCGTTATACTTGGTTTTGAATTTTTTTTAATAAAATATTATTTAAATTTATTTGTAATATTCTTTTATAAATATTTTTAATATATTTTATTACATAATTTTTTAATTTATTCAAAATCAAAATCACAAATTAATTCAAATCAAAATCACAAACTTGAATAAACAACTTATTTACACCTTATAACACAAGTGGTTATAAAAATAAGCATTTATGAAATAATCAACTAATACTTGAAAGATGTGTTTCTATTATTTTTCTTTAGAAAATTGTGTATTTTTGGCATTCAATTGTAAAGACTAATTTTTTAAATTAAATAGAATTGTAATGACAAGTAAAACTATCGTTTAAGAAAATTATACATTGTTAAGTGTGTATCTAGAATTGAGTTCAAATTCAAGATCAGATTTAAACTTGGGTCTTCTTAAACTAAATAAGATAAAAGAGATTCCTTATTATATATAGTTAACATGTGTTTAAACTATAAAAACACTTAAAAATTTACATTTTTATTTAGAAATGGAGTCTCCATTGTATTTGTATAACACACTACACCATACTTAGAAAAATTATGTTTATTTAGTCCTAACGTGAACATTAATTTTGACTAAAAGTTTGGGCTGACAAATGTGGAGTGAAAATGACTTAGAGAGGAGAGGCTTTGATGTTGGTTATTCCACTTTGTTCGGCCATATCTAGTGGTCCTTCATCTGAAGTCACAATGTCAAAACCATGCAAGTTACAACAAAGGCTTCATCATCATCACAAAAAAAAAATTAACTTACAAAGCCTTCATCATCATCAAGATTAACAACTGATATCTGAGATATTATCTCTACAAAACAAAATAAAAAATCAGCATACAAACAAAGTAAAGAATAGAATGAAGATCAATTTCATAACTCATTTTTACAAAATCAATAGTTATAACTTCATAACCAAGTGTACAAATAGATATAGTTCTGACATACATCACTAGAAAAATATAAGTGATCCATAGAAATATACTAATATTTTGTTATAGTATCAATAAAGATACAAAATCAATTCATACATCCATAACCGTAGCAGCATGGAACAAGTAATGAAAACTCACCACAAAAGCATTGTAATCACATAATTTAATGCAATACCATACTCATTCTCCTCTCCCATTTCCAAGACCAAAAAAAAAAGCAAAATATACTAATACTACTTGTAGTAGACTATAGTCTATAGTCATTCATCCATTCATAACCGTGGAAACATGGAACATGTAATGATGAACCACCACAAAAGCATTGTCATTTATGATACTCTACTGCATTGAATTAATTTAGATGGAATATCAATTCCAATGCTATATCAATACTAAAAAACAGACTCACTAATTCACTTCCTCCTCTTCAAAACCTATTATACCACTCACTCAATCTCACTGTCAGCTGAGTATTAACGAATAACGACACCAGAAAAAAACTAGTTAGAAACTCAAACTGATGGATCCTCTTATGCCAGAATCTAATAATGTTTATGCAAGAATCTTCATAATGGTATTTCACTATTGATTCACTGTAACACAACATTGTTTCCTTCATGATTCATCCTTAGAGCTTACCTTTATCCTTAGAGCTTATCCTTCTGATGCGGCAGCGTTCATTGGCACAGGAATAAATGCAACAATAAGTTGGAGAATTATAAATAAAAAAGATTAGAAAATTGATTTACCCTACTCCAATTGATGGATCTCATCAAGGTTCTCCTCAGAAAATAAGAAGATTGATTCTCCTTTCAACCTGTCTTGCGTGCAAACAAGCGCTTCCACCATTTTAGGTGTTAGGAAAGTGCAATAATCACTAATAACTCTTCCACCAGTGCTGAAAGCAGATTCTGAAGCTACAGTAGAGGCGGGAATAGCCAACACTTCTCGAGCTATGCTTGTCAAAATAGGATATCTAGTTAAGTTGACTTTCCACGGACCTAAGATGTCAAACTCAATTGTTTTAACATATGGTACCCGTGTTTCTTGTAGATAGGATTCAATTTCAGTCTTAGGATCAGACTTATGCCCAGTTTCTTGATTGTAGTGTCGGAAACTATTATCATCATCATCCTCATTTGGTGGTGTGTTTACTTGGCTAGATTGAGAGTCGTCTAAACCTCGATATTAAACATAAAGTTCTGAAAGAGAAGACCTCAATTTTTTTAAATCATCGAATTTTCCGGTGTCAACATTTAAAAGATCAATATAAAAATCTACAATAGTCAATTTCACCCTTGGATCAAGAGCAAAAGAAATCAATAGTAAGATGTTTATTGTGTCAGGATTTCCTCAATACTTGTTGAATTTACCTTTCATCTTATTTGCCGTGTTTTTGACGTGCTCATTATTACTCTTTAAATGATTATTTATCCCTTTTCAAATGGTGAATACCTCTGCCATATATGAAGCGCTAGTGACATATAATGATCCAGACAAACGATTTATAGATTTGTAAAATATCTCAAGTAAGGGAAGCACTGATGCAACATATGCCCAATCCTCTTTCTTAACTCCTCCATTTGTTTTGTCCTTTTCTTCGTGAAATGTCTATTCTCGTGCATAGAGCAAGTCAAAAGCTTTTTGCCACTGTAAGGCAACCTTCAACATTGAATAAGTTGAATTCCATCTAGTTTCAACATCAAGGATAACAACACCTTTGTATGTAACTTTTTCCTGCACCGCATATTCCATAAATTTGACTAGTCTGCTAGGGGAAGATTTGACATATTTAACCGCATGACGAATTTTTTTAATGCAACTTTTATCCTCCTTCAATCCAGATTTTACAATTAAGTTCAAGATATACACACAATAACGCATGTGAACATATTCCCCATTCAAAACAAGATTACTCCAAGACCCCATCCTTATGTTGAGATACTTAATCATAGTGGTGTTTGACGAAGCATTGTCAACCGTTATGGTCAAGATTTGACTCAACCCCCAACTTCTTAAGTAATCATCAACATATTTTCCAATCTTGTGACCCGAGTGCCCAGTGATTTGACAAAAGTTGATGATTTTTTTATGCATATTCCAGTCACTGTCCATAAAATACATGGTCAAACTCATGTAACTTAAGTTTTGAGTTGAAGTCCAAGTGTCGGTAGTAAAACAAACTCTTCCAAAATTTGACAAGAATTTTTTCAATTTCTCCTCAATGTAGACCGTGATGGAATATAAAACTGAGGCTGCAAAGTGATTAATAACTTTCTAAAGACTTCATTCTTCACAAAACAGAATGGAAGCTCACAACACACAAATGTTTTCAAAAGTAACGCTTGACATTCCTCTTGATTAAATTTAGAATAGCTTGGCGAACAAACTACTTTCCCTTCTGAATTGGTTTTTCTCCTTTTGGTTGGTTGGATGGCATGTGTTTTTATCATAATCATAAGCAGTGCATCTACCTAGATGAGTCTGCATACCACTTATTCTGTTACTATACTTAATTAAGACTCCACAGTATTGACATTTAGCCTTTTTCTTATCACCTTCCACCGCGGTGAAGTGGTTCCACATATCAGACTGCAATTGACGTTTTTTCTTTGGAACGCAGTGGCAATATAGCTTCATCATGAGTGCTAGCTGAAGTTGTAAGACTTATATGCTCTACATTCTCTACCATCTATTTAATAAAAAAAACAATAGCAAAATTAGAACTTAAACCATAAAGTAACATATCACCATAAGAAACAATGCAAGACAAGCCAAACTGAACTGATTACATAAACAAACAAACATCGATTACATTTAAGTCAAGTGTTACATAACCACTCATATTATCCATCACAATTATATTGGTAATTCCACTAATCTATAATGTAAACATACACGCATGAAGAGAAATTAACATGAACTCCACTGCATGGATCTATGCTAAAATCTCAATGAAGAGAAACTAACACTCGTCATATACAATTTCTAAATCAATGAATTTATCACAAAGTACAAACTAAGATACTAGTATATATAAACAAATTATAACTTAATTAAATGACTCTAATTACTTGCATATTTGAATGTTAAAAGTTAAAACTCGCCTTAGAAGTCAAATCCTTACAATATATGATGGGTAAGTAAAGTTATTAAGATAATGATATACATGGTATCTTGATGGGTAAGTAAAGTTATTAAGATAATGATATACATGGTATCTTCATGCTTTTGTCCAACATAAATGATGTTGTTAAACTATAAAAATCCTATGCACATTTTGCATTCTACAAAAACAGATGATGGATGAACATGACACTTTGGAATGAGTTAACTCACTATAAGGATCAATGGATTACCTGACAATATTTTTATTTTGACTTCCTAATACTTGGCATATCTTGCGCCAAATATATATTTATTTAATAAATTTGAACTTTAAAAAATAAAACACTAATAGAATCCAAAAACTCAGTTTTGAAGATATACACCATGGTTTCATCACATGGAAAAGTAGTTGGACATGAAACTGGAAGATGCAATTATCTATGAAGAAACACACTTAATTTCTTTCCTCCCAATAGGAAGAATAAAGGTGAACAGGAAAAATCTCATCCATGATCCAAATTTCAAAACTTTCCTGAACAAAATTACAAACAAACGAAAACTTAGTTTTTATATTTCTAACATTGAATTCCTATTCCAATTCAAACGCATCTTTTACAAAATTCCGCTGCCAATTGGACTTACCTACATCGCCGAATCTCTTTTCCTTTAGTTTAATTTCTGTGTACTAATTCATCGAAAATATAAATTAAACTAAAACATATTTATATTATTGGAAATCAAAGTGATAAAATACGACTCCAATAAGATGTTCATATATTAAGATGTCATAGCCTCATAGGTTTACATTGAACATGTACAATAATTAATTGCTCAGAAAGTTATGCGGTATGAAAGCGGACTTTATGACTCTTATTAAATAAAAATCTTACCAGCACTCTCCAGTCAATTCTCTCTCTCTCTATTTATCTATCTCTCTATCACGGATTGACTCTTTAATCAATCCAGTTTTTCTTTGCTATCGAATTCAAACTTGATCTGAATGTTAGCCTCTAGTTACTCTTTAGATACAGGTAATCAACCTGTAAATGATTGAAACCATATTCAATATGTAAACAAATCTAGAAAATACAACACAACTTCATTTGGGACAAAATATCAGATGGAAGATTTGAACAGTTGGAAGAAATTTTTTAACAAACAGTTAATGGACATTCAAGTTAAAGCCATATATTCAGTAAATAGCAAAGTATTTGAATAAAAACATCTTACTAGATTCCACTGAATAAAAAAAGACATAGAAATTGACGGCAATAGAAGATGTAGAGAAAATGTGAAGTTGTAGAAAAGATGAATAACCTGATGTAAACGATTTGGTAATGGAACAGAACAATCAAACCCACAAGTCAATCTAAGCGGGAACACAGTCAAACACGATTTTCAGAATCACCTCCCCAATCTAAACTCCATGAACGCGCAAAAGCGCTTATTTTCAGAATCACTTTTCAGATGCTATTAGTTCTCCAAACGAAATAACTTATCATGAAAGTGGTGTTTTCAATTTCAAAGATAGAATTTAGTTTTCATGTTTATTAATGGTTCAATTTTAGTTTATGTTTGATTAATTTTAATTTGGTTCAGTTCTAAAACCGCTAGTAAAATAGTGGTTCAGTTCACTAACCAAATATAATAATTTGATTATTTTAACTTCAGTTCGATTCAGTTTAACAGTTCAGTTCGGTTCATAGATTTTTTTTAACAATCCTAATCATAAATTTTTTTTTTACTTCATAAGGTGAGATAAGAAATTTTCTTGTTAGAATGCTACAAATATATGTGCTTAGGTCTAACAAGATTTATTTTAAAATTTGAACTAATTAATTTTTAAATAAATTTCTAAAAAAATTAATTAAAAAAATTAATAACTTATTTATTTATTTATTAAAATAATATTAATAATTAACTATCCTAGTCAATATTTCAACTAATTAAAAATAATTTTATTGTCTTAATTATCACTATCACATCTACAAAATTAGATGGAAATCAATTAAATCCGTATGTAAAATTCAAAGATTAGAAAATTAATTTTTAAAATAAAGGGGTTAAAAATTTATTAAAATAATAGACCAAAAATGCTTTTAAAACTTTTTATTTGTCAAACTTTTTTTATTATTTATATTATTATTAATGTACTGATAAATGGATTTATAATTTAGGATATAGTAATTTTTTAATTGTTGTTTTATATGTAAAGTAATATTAATTATAGTTTAAAAAAATCTTACGAGCTTATTATAAAAAGAAATTGAAATAAAATAATTTTAAAAATTCAAAGAAGTAATAATAAACTTAAAATAAAAAAAATAAAAAAGAAAAGAAAAGAAAGGAGTAGTATTTATTAGTCGGTAAGACAAGTTGCATTGCATATGGTTTGTTAACTAAACTCTGGCATTATCACACTATTGAGTGGGAAGTGTTATAATATCGAACATTAGAATTAAATATTAAAAAGTGAGAGACAAGATAGCACATGAAAATGAAGTGAGAACAGAGCAAAGAATAGAAGAAGAGAGAATAGAAAAATAGATAGATCTGAGAGAAAATGTCACGGGGTAGTAGTAGATCTGATTCAGGGATATGGTTGAGATGGTGTTTGGTTTTGTTCGCAATGGTATCCGCTTTAGGTGTATGCGGTCCTGCTCTTTACTGGAGATTCAAAAAAGGCATCACTCTTCGCTCCTCTAACTCCAAACTCTCTTGTCCTCCTTGTATCTGTGATTGCCCTCCTCCTCTCTCCCTCTTCCAACTCGCTCCTGGTAATTTTCATCCAAAACCTCTTTCTACTTTCCAATTTTTTTTTTTTATCTTCCATTTCTGGATCTAACTAACTGCCTTCATTCTATCTTACCCAGGGCTAGCCAATCTCTCTGTCACAGGTTAGGGTTTCTTTTTACGCATCTTAATTTCTTCTGTTTTATATTATTTCAATCTTAGAATGAATTGCTAAATATCTATTATGTCTGACGGTTCATATGTGTGGCTGAATATTATCTTGGGTGGTATATGTATATATAGAGATAACTTTGTAAGATACGTGATTAGTTGGTGGGTACTGGGTAGTCCAATAATTGGATGACAGAGACCTTGGAAATTTATAGGTAATAAACCATAAAGAAGAATTTAGAACTGGGTAGTTTTTTGTCACACATGATTTACCATAAGGCATTATGGTTTCATTTGATTCATATAGCCAATCCTACTTAAAAAAGGTTTTTATTGTTGTAAACTTTTTGCTTTGTAAATCAATCCTC